CGCCGCTGCTGCCATCAGCTCTGCGGAGACGGTGCCAAGCGGCCAGCCCATCACGCCCCCGAGGTCACTGGCAGCGGAGACTGCAGACTCTGGAGTCTCGCTTGGCGGCGGCTCGCTAAAGATGACGACCCGGGGTCCTGTGCAGCGCCTGGTCTGGTTGCAGACCCTGTAGGGCGGCACATTGTTGGTATGTGCTGTGCTCCACACCCCGTTGGACGCCGTGTTGTCGAGGCGGACGGTGGGAGGCAGGACACGGACGCGCTCAACGGGCACCCACAGCCCGTGGTGCTGGCAGCTCGCGCAGAATTTGACAACGATGGAGCTGCGGCCGATCGGCTGCTCCGTGCCTGGCGGTCCAGTGCGGGCGAGGACTATGAGGCGCCATGTGGTGCTAGCGGATTGCGGGTGCCGAGGGTCTGTGGCGAGCGTACGGCAGCCTCGCCTTGGCGGCATTCCATGCCGGTGAGAACCTTCCCCCAGCACTCGGCCATGTCCGCATTCGGCTACGCGTCCGCGTGGAAGTTCTGATGAGTCTCCGAGACTCCGCGTTCGCCCGCGTATAAGGATTTTGTCCCCCTTTCGTCGTACGTACTTTTAGCTTACTGGGAGAAAAGAGAGACTCTCTCTCTTTCGTCTGATGTTGAATGCGTGCATGGTGGATGCACAAAAAGTTGAGCTTCTGGGATGAAACAGGTACGGCTCTAAATCGAACGCGTAACGAGTGGCACGAGCGTCTAACGTACGCGGTGTACGGCTTTACGGCTTTTTAGTTTTTTGTTTTTACACGAACACGTCTCACGTGTGGGTCACGCTCACGGGACACGGCGGTCCTGTTGGTCAGCCTGTTCCTTTTTACCCATCTCACAGTAGAGCGGTGTCCGTTTTTATTTATTTCGTGGCGTGTAGTGATGGTGATGCACATGCGTCACAGAGTGCGCCCACAGAGACCCGGCGGCGATGATGTGATATATGTGTTCCTAGCTCCCCTGAGCGACTACCCGCACGCGCACGGGCCTCGCGACACCCCCGCCGCGCTGCGATACCGAGCGTGTACGCGCGGACTCGGCGGGCCCCGACAGATGGTAGCGCCCCCTCCCACCGGCGCCGACTTTGCCGGCGGCACTACAGGATGCGCGCGGCGAGCTCCTCGAGCTTTTTGGAGATCTCGGCGGGCGTTCGGTCGAGGTCGTCGGCTATCGTCTTCTGCTCGGCGGCGGGCAGCGAGTTGAAGAGCGTCAGGTAGTCGCCGTCGACGCACGCCTTGACGGGGAAGTAGGCGGAGCGGAAGAAGAGCTGCTCGCGGCCGCAGAGCGGCGGCGCCTCCTGCCGCACGTGCATCTCGAGGGCGGTGAGCAGCTCGACGTCCTCGCGCGAGGTGAGCG